ACAAGACTTTTTTGTGAAGAAAATTATTTTCGTTAAAAAAACACCTATGTGAATATAATATTAATAGTATCAGTTATCAGTTTCAATTTTAATAAGACCACTTGAAAAAGAACACTTAAAATATACAAATAGGTTAGCCCATTTATTGTGGTTCATTCATTTTTAAATCAATTTCGAACTGACCTTTTTGATTTTTTCTTTACAAAATTGTATTTGTAAGGGTCCCCTGTACATCCATAATTTATTTTTTGGATAAGTTCTGAATCACCCTGTATAAAAGAAAACAGAATTTCTTTGAAATCTTACATTTAATATTTATTTTTTTTTAAATATATATTTTATTATTAGTTTTCGTATTTTTAGTTTATTATAAAGGTATTACAATAATTTCAGTTTTTTAAGGACACATTTTTTTATAGGTATTTATTTTAATTAGTTTAACATATTTATAATTAAATCAATGTGATGATGATTGTTATATATAAAAGAAAACAGAGAATTTCTTTGAAATTTTACATCAGGTGTTTATAATAATTTAAGATACCTATTTGTTTTTTACAGTGTGTTTCACTTATAACATTTTAGCAGTGACTATAAAAAAGAATTCTTTTTATAGTCACTGATATTAGGCATTTTTTAAGAAAAGGGAATGGATAGCATTTTCGATTTGATTACACCTCAAAACCCTAAATACAAAGTTTCATTATTATAGCTTTTACAGGGTGTTCACAAAACAGGCGCAAAATTCGAAAAATTTCACTCAATGCAGTGTCCTGTATTAACAGTGGAAAATAGTTTTAAGGTATTATTTCATCATTTTAATTCATTTTTCCATACAGTTTCATTAATTTCATTCACACAGGGTGCTCATAATAAGACAGCCAAATTACTATATATACAGGGTGATTCAGAACTTATCCAAAAAAAAAATTCTGGATGTACAGGGAACCCTTACAAATACAATTTTGTAAAGAAACAATTAAAAAGGTCAGTTCGAAATTGATTTAAAAATACACTTCTGCACGCACTGGAAACTGGTCCACTGTAAAACCTGACCTCGCACAATGCGACCGTAATGGCGGCGTGATATAAACGGACAAAAACTTTCGCAAGGAAAGAAATATGTAAATAGAATCTAATCGCACCTATTTTATATCGGCAAATTCAAATGCATTTGCCTTTATTAATTATTAATAAAATTAATTTGTGTTTTTAAATAATAAAATCATTTGACATACCCGATGCTGCAACAGCAATTGTTCAAAATTTTATCCACACACATTTGGGTCCGTCTTACTCACTTTCTACGAACTAACACAAATGATGTCTTGTTTCACCATAACACAAACGCTTCACCATAAATTAAAACGATATCCATCAACTCCGAGTACACGCAAACCATTTTTGACACTAACTACCCATTTTTGACACCAACTACTAAAAATGTATTATAAAAACCACAGATAACAAGTAAATATCGCAACGACGATTGCAAAATCCGAATTCAGTATTCGGAGTCGATGAGGCCACGTGACGAATGATGCTAGAGACTACCTACAGTTGTCCAGCTGTGTAGTGGTTTAATGTGCTATAACTTCAATAATTTTTTTCTCATAAACTATAAGGATTTTACGAAATTTTTTTTACAATATTGACTCCATTTCTCATGCTGCATCTATTCCCAATTTTTTTTTTGGATAAGTTGTGAATCACCCTGTATATATATATTTTTATTATACCAGAAATGACTTTCACAATAAAATAAAATTTAATATTACTGTTTTCTATTAGTCCACTGTTCAATCCGTCTCCTCTTATTTCTAATAACCCTGCTCTGGGGTCTTGTTTAATACACTTTATTTTTCAAAATTCCCCATAAAAAGCAATCAATCGGCGTCAAGTCTGGAGCTCTTGACGGCTACTCATCTAACGGACTGTTGCGACCTATCCACTTTCCTGGGAAATCTAGTTGAAGATAGAGGTTCTGTCTTACATGAAGAGGAAGCGCAAAAAATATCTGCGTTTAGATTAGCGTTAAAAAAGAACGGACAGATTATTCGATCACATAAAATTCCACACAAATAAAATGAGACAAATAAGTTTTTAAATTCAATGGCTTTCTAGAGGACTAATAATTTTTAAGATATTCAAATATGCGAGCAAATTTTTTTGTAACTCCGAAAGACTGGGCTACTTGCAAAACTAAAAAAAAACGGGTCTCCTACATTTGTCTTAAAAAAATGTGACCAAATTTTGATGCATTAATTTCGAGACACCCGGTATATATATACTACTATTATTGCTTTGTACAACGCCTATTTCTGTATAATTTTTGTAACACTGACGTAGTAAAAGTTACATCAAAACAAATTCCGCTATTTATAGTTATTAACGCAACGGAGACTTGTATCAAGCGATTCACCATAATCCTTTCCTTGACTGACCGATAAAGAAGAAACGAAATTACTTGAAAGTACATCGCTGCGCTAAAAATCGCACTATTCCTTTCGGTCGTATTTTCCCGCTCGTTAAATCACGTAATACGAATTAAAGGCCTGACCTAGTTCCGTCACTAAACGCGAACTAGAACCATTAACCTAATAAATTGTAAATCCGCTCGTTTGGAGGCTAACGTAATCTGATTTACCAACAATTAATTACTATTATAATATAAGAATGGACGAAACACTTTCCATAACCGAATGTTCAGTAGTCTTGAAAGAAAAAAAAATATATATAGAAGCTCTCCCGACACATCCGTCACTAATCATGTAATAATGGAGTGAGGAGCTCTAGAACCGAATCAATTTGACAGCTGATTTATATTAATGATCACCTGGTTTTAATTGATTGGTTTAGTAGCCGACGGTTTGAGTTTCTATCAGAAGAAAACAATCTGATGGATATTACGGTACTCGCAAATTCCGAAACAGGATGTTGTCTGGAAACGACTTAAAAATGTAGTGTTTTTTTTTATATCCGCACCGTGAAAACGGTATTCTGTTCTCAAATATAACTACTTTTAAGCCAGTAGTCCGAGCAGTTCAACCAATTTCGACTAAAAATAGTACAAACTTACAAATAACACAAATATAAAGAACAAGATAAAAAGGCAACAAACCATAAGACATATATGACTACATAAGCAAAGCATTCTTTATATCATTAGCCAAACGACAAAAAAGATCGACATTATTTTCTATCTCGCTGTACTTGGAAACAATTTGATACAATGGTGATGCTACTAGGATGTTACTATGTGCTGTGATAGACTAAAAACATTATTACTTCTAGGTGATAGTCGTGGTACTTTGATATTAATATTATAACGCCTGGACAGTCCAAAATGTTATGTAGAACTTTATACAAAAACATTACTTGAAAAACAGATCTTCTTTTAGCAAGGACGTGAATATTGAAACGCTCAAGTAATAGATCATGCAGAAAACCCTGAAGGGGATATGTACATACTAGTCCAATTAACTAAGCCTTTAAATCGAAATTTTGTCAACTTGGCTGAATTTTTGATATGAGTTAGGTTAAGGTATATTATAACAATGAGTGAGAGTAATTTTTTGTTCAACCCCCGGCCAAGGGTGGAAAAAGATAAAACAAAGGGCTTTTTCAAGATAACTCAAAAAGGGTAAGAGCTAGAAAAAAAAGTTTTTCATGAAAGTTGTAAAGCAGACAATTCTACATAAAAATGGTCTCTTAGCTTTTTCTTGTACTATTAAAATTAACAGAGTTAGGGAGGCTAGAAGTTAAGGGAAGATTTCAGAAATTTAATTTTGTTAAATCATTAAAATTAACGATTAAAAATTTGATTTTTTGTTATAACTTTCTTATTAAAAATTAAAAAATATATCTATTTCTCTGAAAAGAAAAGTTACATATTTTAGAGCAGATTGAAAAAAAAAATTACAAAATTCAATCATTTTTCTGTTTGTTATGATTTTTTTTAAATTTCTGAAATCTTCCCTTAACTTCTAGCCTCCCTAACTCTGTTAATTGTAATAGTACAAGAAAAAGTTAAGAGGCCATTTTTATGTAGAATTGTCTGCTTTACAACTTTCATGAAAAACTTTTTTTTCTAGCTCTTACCCTTTTTGAGTTATCTTGAAAAAGCCCTTTGTTTTATCTTTTTCCACCCTTGGCCGGGGGTTGAACAAAAAATTACTCTCACTTATTGTTATAATATACCTTAAACTAACTCATATCAAAAATTCAGCCAAGTTGGCAAAATTTCGATTTAAAGGCTTAGTTAATTGGAGTAATACCATCCAATAAGTACACAGCTGATTTTATAAACCTACGCTGTACTCCTTCCAAAGTTGCTAATTGATTAACATAATTTGGGTTCCAGACTATTGATGCATATTCTAATTTAGAACCAATAAGAGTAGTGTAGAGATAGAAATCGTAGTGTAGAAATAAAGATTTTGAATTTCAAATTGGAATTATTTACATATTCTAAAAAATTTTAAAAAAATGACGAGTTTACTAGGGCTAAATGAAACCACCAACTGCTTTCTAGGTTTTAGTTACGCCAATTTTTTTATGAAGCTGTAATTATATTATGAATAACGTTAATTGCGTACCAATTGCAACGCTAGTTCATTCAACTTATCCGGAACCAGATAGTAGACTCTGTGCAAAACCGTACTTATCTTATCAACTTCCACGTCACCTGCTACATGGGTGTTGTATAACAATGAAAAAGTAATATTAACGGTCGATAGAAGGAAGCACAAAAAACAAGCACTTAGGTAGGAAATTCTGGAAGGAAGCCTAAATAGTNAAATACACACAACGTAGGGATTCCTTATGACGATCACATGTTTTTGGCCACAACTACGATATATTGTTTTTGTCGAACCTAGGGTTGTTATATTACAGAATGGCGCCGTGACCAGGATAGGCGCTGTACAGTGAAAGCTTTATGGGGATGTTTGGATGTTTATATTATAGCATGATACTGCTGTATTTTTTTTTGTGTCTAGCAACAGCAGCAGCAGGAGTAGCAGGTGCCGTAGCAGGAGCAGTAGCAAAAGTAAGAGCGGCAACTGCACCAGCACCAGCAGCAACAGCCACAGCAGCAACAGCCACAGCAGTAGCTTAAAAGCAGTCTCAGCCAGGACCGCATTAGTAACAACTTCAGTACTCCTAACGAACCCAGAGGCAGAGTAGGCATTTCCAGCGAGGGGCGACCGAGTCAGCCAGTTAAAGGACTTGTAGCAGCATTTAAGCCACCTCTTCCTATGGTCACCGGTGCTGAGGTAACAGATGCGTCTACTGACCGCCTCTTATTGTTCCTGTCGAAATTTGGTTTGGTCAAAGTCATGCCCAGAAGTGTGGAGTCTATACCGAACGATGTGTGTCAAAGAAGCATGTCTCATTTGAAACGATATTGGTTGGAGATCTAGAACTCCTACGTGAAGCTACTGTTTCTGATGCTACGAAGAACATTATTTACCAATCCTACCCGTTATATTCTGAACCTTATAAAGTACATACCAGACAAACCATTTCCAAATGTTTACACTTTCTGCGACATTAATTCAAATGAAAGGAAAGTCCGTTTTTGTGTGTTGAAAGATATTTCTGAGCCATGTTCGTCTCATCACTATCTTCCAAAGGGGCGTCTGTGCAAAACCGTACTTGTCTTATCAACTTCGACGTCACCTGTTACATAGGTGTTGTATAACAATGAAAAAGTAATATTAACGGTCGATAGAAGGAAGCACAAAAAACAGGCACTTAGGTAGGAAATTCTGGAAGGAAGCCTAAATAGTTGAAGATAGGCAGTTGAAGTGAGAACAGTGTGCAGATAGGTAGCAAGACGATCGGCGGGCAGTGTGTCAAAGTAGTGAAAAGTTAATTGTTTAAAGTGTTATTAGTTAGCAGGTAATATTCTTTAAGTACTTTGTTGTTAATTGTTCTATATAATCTTATGATTGTGATGATTATAGATGTTTCATGATAATAATTCTTTGTAAGTTTAGCTTCCATTGCTTTATGCTCAAGGGCATATATTTTTCCAAGGTAAAATTGTTATAATTATACTTAAAGTTTGCCCATTATTTATTTCATGTTAAAAATATATGTATTGTCCTGATTGCCAGACATTACAATAACGACTTCTTTGTTTCACATCTAACTTGTTTTTGCCACGATTACGTTATACGTAAAATATAGATGTTTCATGATAATAATTCTGTATATGTTTAGCCTTCATTGTCTTACGCTCAGGGGCGTATATTTTTCTAAGATAAAATTGTTACAATTATTATTAAAGATTGCTCATTATTTATTACATGTTAAAATATGTATATTGTCGTGACTGCCCAGATATAGCAATAACAACTTCTTTGTTTCACATTTAACTTGTTTTATCATGATTAGGTTGTTCTTTGATTTCTTGTGCTCACTTTATGTCATACGTCTATACGAGCCTTGTTGAGTTTACTAACATTTTCGCCCGTGCGGAACGAATCTGGATTAAGCTCGATTGCCTCCCGTATGGGACTCCAGTGTTATGAAGGATCTTCCGAAATCTCAACTATAGCTGGATTGCCTCCCGTATGGGACTCCAGTACCTTCCGGCTCTGCCGGCTAACTAACACCAAACCTCTTCAGTTTTACTTGGAAGTGTGTATGACTAATATGAGGTAACAGATGACATTTAGTGACACATTAAATGAGACAGGTCTTATTTATCATTAGCAAAGGTTCTTAATTTATGCCTTTGGTTAGCGGTTGTTTTGTATTTATATTTGGGTGGTAAGAGCAACGATCGTGGGTTTCTCTGCCATGCTCTTTCCCCACAGGAGCTCTAGGTGAGCCTGGCACTCTCATTTTATGTTAAATGGTTGTTAATGTTTTTGTTGTTCTTTCTATTTGTCACATGTTTAATTTGAATTGTATGTAAATAAAGGTTAGGTGTATTTACTCTGCTTTTGTTTTATATAATTAAACCATACATCCCCTCTACAAAGTTAGTAGCCAGCGCCTTCCGGTCAATAAAAAATAAATACACACAACGTAGGGATTCCTTATGACGATCACATGTTTTTGGCCACAACTACGATATATTGTTTTTGTCGAACCTAGGGTTGTTATATTACAACATGTTATGTTTAAACATCTGTATTTGGGGAAATACTCATCTCTCGACAGTTAATGACAATAATTGCGTAATGTAACTACAAGAGAAAGCATACTCGGAAAGAGTAGTGCTGTTTAATACGCGTATGTTTCACATAATACTGCGATTTCCTCTTTTACGAAATACAAGAATATCATTGTAATGTTAAAAGCTAGGAATTTTAAATCCTGTTAAAGTCATAAATAATAATGACTCATAACGGTACTCTAATATGTTCAATTCTGAATTAGTTATTACCTATATACCGGGTGGGGCATTTATCTTGAGACAAAATAATATCTCGGTTGGACTCGATTATTTCGAAAAAATAATTCAACAGAGATATTATTTTGTTTCAAGATAAATGCCCCACCCGGTATATGAAGACAAATTTACAATTAAAAAGGTCATTGAAAATGTAGGTGTTTATAAAATTCAGTATAAATCCCAATAATGTGTCACATTTAAAACAAAAAATTAGAAATATTTCAACAAAAGTACTTTTTTATGTAAAATGAAGTTTTATTTCAAAAAGCTATGGTCAATGACTGACAATTTTTGCGTATTTAACATCCTTATAAATTTACCGGTACCAAATTTCATTGTTTTTTAGAAAATATAATATTTAAAAAATTATATTTGACGCAATGCGTATCTCAAAAAACAGAAGACGATAGGCTCTTGGATTAGAGGAAAATAATCGTCTTATTTTATGGTATTCTAGTGGTCATATAATTTGTGGTAGCTTTTTCCAAAACACCCTGTATAAGTAATACATTAAGAACAATTTTTAAGTTAAGATTAGATTTAAAATTCTTTGTAACTTAAAACACTTGTTTGCATATACTAAAAAAGGAATTGTCCATATTGATTATTCTGGTGCTTATTTTCTGTTATAATGATGTAGGTATAATTGTTATGTTGGTTAAAATGGTAGGAAATTTAAATAATTTTGAAAAATGTCATTTGGAAGCAATTAACATAAAGCTTAACACAGCTGATTGAATATTCTGGAAAATTTTAGACATTTTCAAATAATTGTCAAAATCATTAATTTTCCATATTATGATTGTTGTGAGGATAATTAGAATATATTAACTGAATGAAGCAATGATTATGAGCCAAAGGAATCCAATTTGCCGGATATGTATGTTAGAAGTAGAATTATACAGGGTTCTTCACTTTAAGTGGCCTATTAGACGTTTCAGAGGCACCAAAGACAATATGACTGAAATTTTGTTTACGGGGTTATCAGATATATTCTCTTCAATGAAAATAATGCCATCAACGTAGCACTTCCGAAAATAGCTGTCAACTTAGTTACTTTAAATGGAATACCCTATATATTATTGCATTATCGACAAGATAAATTAAAATAACCGTTATTTTACAAAAAATTTGACAGAGGCAAGCGTTTCAAAAATTCCTTATATTTTTCTTCGTTCTGGGAGCTGTCACTTGCTTTTCGGAATACACAAAGAACATAAGATGCACTATCTTCCGCTATCAAAATTACCTGAAGAAAATTATACTGTGTCCCTTTTTTCACATTACATTTTGAAAATTTAAAACCGACAAAACTTTTTAAATTCAAATGGAACACCCTGTATCTTTCTGCATCATATTATAGAAAATCAAATTCTTTTTTCAAAGATATAGGCATTGTAGGAGTTATATATTCAATTTCCTCAGATATTTACGGTTACTTATATTCTGAAGAATATTACGTTAAAAATATTATCAAATGTGCCTTGAAAGGTAAATATTGGTAATGTCATTCAGTATTCTACAAGTATCAAGAATTGGCTATTTTATATCCATGGAACATTCACCGTGAATCAAAATTATTAGCTGTATTTCTTATATGATTTGGTATTTTGCAATTGAAACAGAACAATTAATGAAATGATTTCGGTTGGTTTTCTTAGAATGTTTCTCTAATTTTTAATGTTGTCGTAAAAGTTTTTAAAGAATAGCAAAGACAATAAATAAGATAATTTCAAATAACTAATATATGCATTATTATAATATAACTACATATAATTTAAAATTTTGGTTACTTTACATTTTAATGTTTTCTTAATGAAAGTATGCTTATTTGCTCTTTACCGTACTTGCAGTTGCTAATAATAGTATCCCAACGGAAGGAAATCTTATTAGGTATTATTTTTGTGTACATACGCAATTTATTAATGTAATTATTAAAAAAATGTTCGACAAAGAACACTATTGTATGTAGATGGCGGAGTTTCATTCGCGTCCAATTCTCAAATTTTGCAAAATACCAAATCATAGAAATGCAGCTAATACTGATTCATGGTGAATGTCCCATGGATAGAAAATAAATTCAAAATAGCTTCATTACAATAATTATTTTGCATTTTTCTTGTCGAGAAAGTACTTGATACTTGCAGAATATTGAATGAGAATACGTTTCAAGGCAGATTTCATGATATTTTAACGTAATATTCTTGAAAATGTAAGTAAACCGCAAATATCTGAGAAAATTGAAATGAAACCCCTACAATGTCTATATCGGTGAAAAGAGAATTTTGTTTTCTATAATATAATGCAGAAAAATACAGGGTGTTTCATTTGAATTTAAAAAGTTTTGTCGGTTATAAGTTTTCAAAATGTAACGTGAAAAATGGGACAATTAGTATAATTTTCTTCAGGTAATTGTGTTATGCGAAGGTAGTGCATCTTATGTCCTTTGTGTATTCCGAAAAGCAAGTGACAGCTCCCAGAACGAAGAAAAATATAAGGAATTTTCGAAATGCTTGCACCTGTCAAATTTTTTGTAAAAGAAAGACATACTATTCCGAAACTACTATCATACCAGAATCTTGAGCAGAACCTTACCGAACTTTATATTTAATTTATATACAATTAATTATAATTAATTTACAGTAAAATTTTAAGTTTTTTTTAATTTAAAAATTACTTTTTATACAGAAGTTTCTTCACTAGGTACCGGAAATTTAACTGTTTTGACTTACGTGGTTTTGAATGATTAATTTGGATTGCTTGCCACAAAAAATTTGTTCCTTCCTATTGCCCCAAAACCGGACCTGACCGATCTATTATATTCTCCTGCGTGCGTTCGTGATTCGACATCATCACCGTGCCAGAAAGTATTTTTCGATCCTGCCCGGATCACCCGAGGAGCAAATCGTGGTCGATCCCGCAACGGCCCAGTGAAGATGACCGGTTTCGGGGGCCATAACCCCGTGATACCCAGACAATAATTCATTGTCAACGCAATTAATGTCCGCATCTAACAAACGGCCTCGATTGTTAAATATTGCACGGCATTGTGAGGACATTGACAGATACGTGTCGCCTAGTCCGACGTATATGGGCAGCGGAACGGTGGATTTCGCTGGGTCCTCCGAGGAAACGCTTTTTTTCACTTTTGTCGATCTGATTTAATAAATCACTCCCATCCGGTCAACGCAATGCTTGATTGGAAACAAGGATGTCGTTAAAAGAGGATTACTAATATCTACAACTGAATTTGGTCATAATAAGGTTTATTAAATATCGATAAGTCAGAGATACATAACCCGTAAATGTTTTCAAACGAAGTTAATCAATTAAAAGCAATTGATTATCTATTACTTTACATTAACACTGGTTGACACTGAGAAGACTGCTATTGTATTGTAACGCAGCCCCACAAAAAAATAGGATCGGATCTGGTATTCAGACCCATGTATATCCATGTATTTTTTTCCGCTGAATCCGAATCTGTCTTCAGATCTGGCCCAACGGGTCTGAGTTTTCGGGAAAATTCAAAAAACAGGTCAAAATTCACGAAAAACGTCATTTACGATCGACGAAAGTTATAAAAAATCAAATTATTCTACCAGTTCACTAGACGTATGATTTTTCACTTGTTTAATTCCAATTTATCATCATAGAGTCAGACAAGCTGGTCTAATTTCATTCAAAAACAGAAAATAGATCAAAATGCTTAAAAACGCCATTTTCATGGCATAATTCGTGTTGCAGAGTTCTGGATCCATCTTTTTATCCACTCACCCATTTATGAATTCATACATCTTTCTATCCAGTCGTTCATGCATGAATATGCATATTGATTCATCCACCTGTACCACTTATAAAACCCACCCATCCACCCATCTACCCATCTACTTTTTGTACTGAGAGATGAGTTAATAGCCTAGAAGATTGATAATGCAATAAAACTTCTTCTTTTCTGTTCTCTTTTCTTCAAAGGACCAACAAAAATCGGCCATCATATTTTCATCCCATCTTCCTATCACTGTTCTATAACCTTCATATCCTGATGAAATCGTTCGCCTTGTTCTTCGCTATAATCTCCAAGATTTTCAGGAAACCAATCCAGATGTGAATAAAGGAAGTGCAACTTGTAGTTCATCAAACATCCCAGATCTCCCAGATCTTGGAAGTCTTTTATAATTTTTGATACAATTTAGAAGACTCTTGTTGTTTCCTAAAAAATTTGTCGCTACAGCTTTGAAACTAGTCCAAGCACTCTTCTCAACGCTACTCATTGTAATGATGAATGTTGCATCCTTGAACAATGTCCGAATCTGAGGTCCATCGAATACACCTTCTTTCAATTTCGCCACAGAAATATGCGGAAATTTTCGAATATTGTTGGTTTAGGCGACAGCATCTTAATAAATAATAACGATAGCAATCTTATAAACAATACTAATTAGTTGTTTGAAAAAGTAGTGTCATAATTGTATATTGTAATTCATATTCTAAGTGTTTTAATTCAAAATGAGCTCGAAAAGCGAAGCCGAGCATTTACCAGGGGAAGTGCTGTTTCACAATTAATACCAAAAAAATCGTCGAGACAGTACGAGATTGCCTACAACGAATTCAAAGGGTGGTGTAGTTCGAAGAAAATTCAAAATGATTTAACTAATTTTGGACAACTTTTCAGGTCATTTTAATAATTGGTGTTTGTGCAGCTTTGAGAAGAGATGAGCTACTAAAGATAACTATCAACGATATAGATGACAAAGATTCAATTATTATTATGAGCATTCTTGATTCTAAAACTCATAGTCCGAGATGTTTTGTGATTTCAAGTCTAGACCAAATGAAGATATACCGCAAATACCGTGCTTTACATTTAAATAAAATTTAAAAATACTTTATTATACTGAAAATTAATGTTTAGATACTCAAAAAAAGTTCAGAAGACGAAAACAGTGGATTTTTGAAACGTTAACGACCTTTTTAATGTACGCGATATAAGTGATGCGTTTTTGTATTTTATATTTGTCTGCTTTTTTCAGTGTCAGATTTTTTAGTTAGGCAGAACTACTTTCATAAAAATAACCCTTGACTGATCCTTTTGGCGCAAGGCTTTTTCAGTAATTTTAAATTTTTTTCCACAAGTGGCACAATATCCAAAAAATAAAGAAAATAATTCATAATAAGCATTTTCTAGATACTTTGCTCTTATAATAGATGCTGGATATTAAGAGATTAAAATAAACTACATTTAAGTAACTTACTGATCGAGTTGTAGGGCCAGTGATTGACGCTTACCTGAAACAAAGAAATAAACTTTAAGTTCACGGACTACATATAGAGATGAATATTAAAAAAATAACAATACAAAATAGGCACATTTCTATGTATAGGAACATATGTGCCTCTTATATGATGGAAACCATATTTTATGTTATCTGGAAGGCGTACCTTCAAAATAGTGTTAAATGATCTTTTGCGATGGGTCGTTGAAAAAGAAAAAATAAAGTGCAGTGATCGTGCGCATGTGCGGTGTTGAATTGAAAGCAACAGGTTGTGAGATAGACATTAGAGAACTAGATCTGGTACAGTAGACACGTGTTCTTGTACTCTATTATTTAATGTATTTCCACCTCTCTTCGTTATAAAAATTATTCACCAATTGGTGTATGAATTTGTACATCACATGTTCACTCATATTTATCTGTTCTGTTCTGTTCAGTTCCCCAAAAAATCGAATACTAATTGTAGCTGATCTTTTAACAAATTTGTAGGTATAAATAAATATTAAGAAGATAAGATATTAAGAAGAGTTTGGGTATTTTACTATACTTAGGTACTGCAAGTTAAAAATAAACAATGAAAAAAAAAACAGGACAATTCGAAGAACCACATTACTCAAGTAGCATACTGCTAAATTTCTTGAAAAATAATTTATTCGAAATTCTTAATCTTTTTTTTAAATTCTCACAGACGAAGCATGTAATAAATTAAATATGTGTCATAATTCAATCGTTTATGGAAGCAGATAAACAAATAAATTATAAACTGTCATAGGAACTGTCACATCTGAAAATTTAAGTAAGAAAAACACATCGCTTTTGAAACGAAACTAAAGAACTTTCGTAAGCGTTGGTGTGAAAATCGTTTTAAGTGAAGTATTTATCGATTCTTCATGTGGAAATTTCAAACTAGACAAAAATAAGTTTATTAAAAACAACACCTGATTGATCATTGCGGTGGTCTTACAATTTTAATTTTTTTGTTTGCAATGCGGCAAAACGTAAAGAAAAACTAGTGATAATTAGCTATAAAAGTTAGTATACATCAATTACACAAAAAAAAAACGAACAAGGCTGTTCAAAATTACATGCTTTTCCAGTACATTTTTATCATCGCGGGCAAGCGGCATTACGTTTTTTTATCCCTTTTGTCCACTCATCCGCATCCCCACGTTATCTCAATCACCGGTGGCATTTACTTAAATAAAAGCTATAAGCGTTCCAATTAAAAGGGTACCATTAAAGGCTGGTCTTAATGAGGCCCAGCGAGTTGACGACGACGGTGTGCCCATATTCGCTGTTATCGCGGCGTGGGACAGGAATTCCCGGAATAATCCGGAGGCCGGATTGACGGCCAGCAGATAAGAACCAGCGAAATGTTGCCAAAGAGCGCTGTCCTGCACCTGACTTCCTATCTGATGTTTTAAGGACTCCACACATTACACAGTTTTAACCGTACCGAAAAACCGATCAACGGAACGTTTTACTCGTGCCAACCAGTACGTATAATGTATGGAGTAAACAGTCCAGGACAAAGAATATATTTTACCAAATAAAATGTTTTACTCAAGATTATAATAATAGTACAGCTACTGGATATCACTCCAACAATTAAACTGTATGATGAACGAATAGTGTACGCAGCACGTTTCACGAATTTAATTCGTACAGTTTGGACTGTACAGTTAAAACTGTGTAATGTGTGGTGCCCATTACACAATGAACTCAAAGTGAAATTTTAATTTTCTAGTGACAAGATATTCGTTAAAAAAAACATATTTATTGTATAGGAATAAAAAATTGTGTGATGAATGTATAAAAAGAATTCCAAAGTTAGAAATGACAGATGCAGAACACATTTTGATTTCGATAACTCAAATTTCCAGAAAACGGAAACAAAAAGCTACATAAAAAAATTAATAAAATATATAATATAAAAAAGCTATTCATTGAGAAATAAAATTACCACGACCTTGAGGCGCCACAACCGTCTCGTCTGAAACGAGTAATGGATCATCTAATTATCGTTTGACTGATTGTGAGTTCAAAACAATTTATGTATTATGTTTTAAAAAAGTCATTATTTTGTAATAATCTAGAAATATACAGTGTCCCGATACATGATTAAAAAAAATCGAGTACAGATAGATGAGGTCAAAATAACATCAGTTCTTCATGTAAATTTTTTCCATACGGACCTTCGTTAACAAGTTACGGGCCCTCAAAGTTGAAAATTAAAATCTTACTATTATTTACAGTCTCTAAACTATTATCTTCAGCATGATGCAAATTTGGTGATTCATAACACATGCGCACAGCTTGTTTTCGATGTAGTAAGTGAAACCTCATTAGGCCCAGAACGCCAGGGACGGACTACGCCCAATGGTTAACAACCCAGAATTTTTGCATAGATGACGATCGCAATCTGCCTGTATCAAAAATAAGTTCCCTGAAGAATTTCCCAACGATAATACCCTCTTGGTTCAACTCGGTAAAATTAACAGTTTAGGAAATATTTGTGATTTTATGTCAGTGCAAATCGAGAGGCACCTCCACCATTTTTTGTTTTTAACTTTACTTGGACATAATTACTGTGTTAGAACCGTACATATTTTTAAAATAAGAGCATAGATAATCATACTGTGTAATTTTCACCAACAAAATTTGACAAATACACTTTACACTTAACACAAAATAGAAAAACAAAACTAGAATAAGTTAAAGGAAGTTAAAAAAAAATTTTAACGAAGGAAGACTATCAAAATACATATTCAATATGGATGGGCACTTTTCACCTCCACACACTTTCTAAGTCTACGAATGTTATTTTCGTTACAAAAAAAATTTTCTGAAGTAGGTCTAATATTATTACAATGGAAATTAATTCTTTGTAACAAATTCATCCCTTGTTTGTACTGGATTTGCGTACACTAAACTTCAAGTATCCCAACGTAAGAAGTCCATCGGGTTAAAGTCTGGAGAACGTGGTGGCCATGAAATTGTGCCTCCTCTCCCATTTATTATTAAACACAATGGATAAATAATTTCGTACATCAAGATTGAAATGGGGTGGAGCCTCATTGTGCATGAACCAAACGTTTCTTCGGGTGACTAGTGGAACATCATCTAATAGTGGCTGCAAATTATTTTGCAAAAACTCCAAATATCGATGTCCATTCAGACGTTCCTCAAAAATGTATGGACCTATTAAATTATTACCACAGAAATGATTTTTCATGTACAAACAAATAACATTCGTAGTCTTAGGAAGTGTGCGGAGGTGGAAGGTGACCATATGGAAAATGGATGTTGACAGTTTTCTTTCTTTTAAATTATTTTTTAACTTATTTTTATGTGTAAAGTGTGTTTGTCAAATTATGTTAGTGAAAATTACATTAGCACACAGTAAGATTTTCTAGGCCCTTGTTTTAAAAACATATACGCTTAAAAACAAAAAATGGTGGAGGCGCCGCTCAAGTACACTGCGACATAAAATCACAAATATTTCCTAAACTGTTAATTTTACCGAGCTGAATCAAGAGGACATTATCATTGGCAAATTCTTCAGGGGACTTTTTTGATACAGACAGATTGCGATCGTCATCTATGCATAAATTCTGGGTTGTTAACCATTGGACATAGTCCGTCCCTGGCGTTCTGGGCATAATGAAGTTTCACTTACTACATCGAAAACAAACTGTACGCATGTGTTATGGATAACCAAATTTGCATCATGCTGAAGTTAACAGTTTAGTGACTGTAAATAAAAATAAAATTTTAATTTTCAACCTTGAGGGCCCGTAAATTGTTAACGAAGGCCTGTATGGAAAAAAAATTACATGAAGAACTGATATTATTTTGACCTCATCTATCTGTACTCGAATTTTTTTTTTCAAGTACCGGGACACGCTGTATATAGCTTGTCTCGCATAAATGAAAACCAAGTAAGCTTTAATAATAATCAAATGTGTTAATATTACTACATTGCATACCTACTTATTTTTTTCATCAAAACATGTGACTGGAAGATATCAATACAAGGGCGTTTAGTACATTAAATTAGTAATTATACACTGAAAGAAATGGGCTTATTAAACTGTTTATCTAGAATAATGTGTATAGCGCATATTAAAACTTTTATAACCAATATACAACTTTTATTAAAAAAAGCAATCATCTCCATACTCATTATTCAATCAGTTTAACTGGAAGGTGCTTAATACACCTTATGCATCTATGAAATAAAGGTTATAATGAATTACTTATACATTATTAGGTGTTATAGACTTTATATTCCAGTTGTATAGTAGGGAAGATTTGTTGTATAAAGACCAGTATCCGAATTTGTATATAACAATTGTATTAACAGAATTATTCGTTCTTATACTGAATATGTTTCCGTTTTTAACGTGTAAAACGCATCTTATAATGGTTAAGTGATCGTCACCTCTCGGTGCATAATCGGTTATGATCGTTGTTAAGTTATATTCATAGTCTTGTAATAATAATCATATGTCAGACCCGAGAGCGAAGTGCGCCGACTCAATAAGAAACCTGGCTATTCCAGCCGCTGATTTAGGGTTCGCCGCACGAGCTCATCCCTTCTAAGATTTCAGTAGCATGCTATGCATGAAGCAGAACGGTACTCAACTATCTTATACAGTCCACTTTTATTGTCCATACATGTTCAATCATTGTCAAAATAAACACACAAAACCACAACGTCTTTATTATCTTTACTCAAGAAGAGAAAATACAACAATCGTAAAATTTCCGACAGTCCGCTGTGCATCGACTTACACACGTCTAGTTTGATGAAAATGGACAGTATATGCACATGTTTTGTGGGATACATGATCATATCGCGTTGTGTGAAATGGAAAATTATTATGTAAGTATCTAACTGTTTTATGGCTTGTAATTGTTTTGTTTTTTCAAATGTAAATCTTGTCTAAATCTTAAAAATTATTATTTTGTAGGTCCTATTAGAAATCGCTGATGTTAAGTTTTACATAA